GCATCGCAAGCCTCTCTTTTACTCTTACTTGGATTGTCTCCTACAAAATGTTAATCTGCGGGGGGGTGTGGTCGAAATATTCAATAACCAAATAACTAAATTAGTCACACACAAGAGAACATTTATGACTATGCAAAGTAGCCATATTCACAAACAATACGTCAAATTACTCAAACACGTTATAAAATAATTTCTCAATGCACCACCCTTACAATCTCCCGTATCTTTGATTGAATTCATGAGTTAATAGTACAAATAGAGCTAGTCTAATTTCTCCAACTGTGAGAGATAACTTGGTCAAAGGCTTCCATATGCATTCTCAAATCATGGATTCCTTCTTTACCAAATCTAAGGGGTGTCATGTGCTCGACCCTATACCAATTCCCTATAAGAAGTTGGTGATGCAAGGCAATACCCGACCTATGCCATTTCCTATAGGATGATGACAATAAAAGATAGTAGATCAAGCATTAAGGCCATTCACGATGTTGGTATTATCATGTGGATCTATCTAACTCCTATAGAGTAAACTTCCACCCATACATATGTGATCATGTCGAATAATATTTCTTGCTCAATTGCATAATGTAAAGTCTACTTTGACATTACTAAAAAATCATACATAACACAGTCTCATCGTATTTAGGAGCTAATTGTTTCAAATAATTAACATGAAAGAAAGTTAAATAAATTATTTTTCAAAATCATTTATTTAAAATGTTTAAGCTCAAACCTTGATTGAAAATTAGAGATTAAACAATAAGAAGCATGAAAAATCATACAAGATACAATAACAAATCAATTTAGGTCAAAAGAGCCAAAACAACATTTTTGACATAATACATTGAGGACTAGTGCACATGCACCGCAGCATATGACATAGCAAGCATACTTATCATTTTAGCATTATGTTGCACATACATATTTTACACCGTGATGTAAAAAGCAGAACCCATAATAGCAACATGCTATCATGGTAAACTTTATGCCGAACTTCTAACGTGTCCCAAATATTCATCCAATATCTGATTGAGATGATTTATCTAGATACCTACAGAAAGCTTATTTTATAAACTATTTAATCGCAGGAGTTCCATTGTCAAATTATATTATATCACAAAGTTGGACAACCAAACATAAACTAACTCAATTTAAACATTTTTACAAATAGGGTCTCCAAAAGTCATTTCAAGTGCTAGATTCTCACACAACCATTTAGGCTATACTCAAAAGACCTAGGACAACTTCTGTAACATATCACAACACACAAAATACAATTCAGATCTTATTTTCACTCCTCAACCCCAATTTAATCAAAAAGTAAGGGAAGGTAATCATCATTTAAATTAATCAAAATCATCATTTAGAATCATACTAGTAACTCAAAGTATACTTGCACCAATATTTCGGCCTTGATCGAACATTAACAACTCATACAATTTGATTTAGGACATAAAATACCAACAATCAACCTTAATTGCATACAATAGTGCAAGTACTCAAAATGATTATCCAAGTTGGCATTATCATAATATGAGGCTATACAGTAGGAAGTCGAGTTCCTAAGTGTCCGGTGTCTTTCCTTTATTCGGACCTGAGCTAGCACCCGTGAAATGTTAAGCAAGGGGTGAGTACAACTACTTAATAATCAAGGTAATATAAAATATGCTCATGCAAGTCAAATAATCTCAAGCATGAAAAGTGAGAAATTATAAACCTTTTATCATCATTAATCACATAACTCAATGTAATGTATGATCATCGTTCTCTCCAAACCTCCATCATTGATGATAGAATCTATGGGCTACAAGATAACTATGAGCTAAACCTATATGATTGAGTTAGTCCAAGCTTTCCAGTCATGGGGGTGGCCCAGCCAAGGCCCTATACTCATTCTCAGGCCATGGATCCACTATGGATCTCTCATCTTAAACATAAGGGTGTCACAAGACCCTATTATCAACTTTGCTAGTTTAGATTAAAAGGTAAGCCCTTTTACCACCATCGCTTGGTGGGTTTTACGGGTAAAATATAATCCTAACACTGAGGCCTCACGACGTTAGTATGATTCACGTGAACACAAATCATTACTCTAATAAGGGAACTCTTGTGATCAATATGATCATGCAAAACACCACATGCTAAATCACATAGCATATCGCAATGTCATTTTTATTATACTCATATTCATCAAATTTACTAACTCAAAGAGTTTAAAAGCATTGTTTCTATATTTCATATTTATAATAATTTAAAAGACCTTGCTTACCTTTTTTCTAAATGAAGTCAATATACACATTCATAGAGTTATATATACACATATGTGTGTGTGTATAATAAAACATAAATTCAAGTTCACAAAAACCTACAATTATTCAAACACATAATAGCATGAAATAGATTTCTCCTAATTATTTCAAATCTTTAAGTACTCAAAGGTTACTCTTAATACCATTTGCTTTTGAGCTAGAGTTGAGCTCAAATGGAGCACCACTAGTTTAATCTACAATTTATAGCAATATTCATTACTAATATTACCCAAAAACACCGCTTCTATCTTTTAAACTCACTTTAACAACCAAACTTTCCAATTACAAGCACTATCTCACATCTAATGAGTTTGTTAAATATCATTAACTCCATTTAGCTCTCATTAGCTTAAATAATATCCACTTCATCATCAAAGTGTCTAAGGTACATTGAAAACACTAGACCCAAACTTGCAAACTTATAAAAACTTTACATCTAGGTATAGAAAGATTAAACAACCCCCATTAATTCCATTTGGTTGATAGGTTTAGACCCATAGTCCTAATTCTGAAAATCATCATCTCCCAATCTCAAATCTTACTTTTAAAATGTCTAAAAAAAGGAGCAAAATTTGATGCTTTAACAAAGCAAATACTCTCTTTATCGCCCTCTCTTTATTTCTTGTTTCTCTCTTTTTGTTCAATCATTTTTTCATCTTTTTTAAAAATTTAATTTTCAACATTACGCCACAGCGTAAATGCATTATGCCATGGCAAAGCGTGTAGTGGGCCAAATTTCTTCTCTCCTAAATTTGAGTCTAGATGGCCCAATTGCCTTCTAGACCCAAATCCAATAAGCCCATTGTTTCTAACTACCCTCACACAAATTAATACTCAATTTCATCTAATTATCCTTGATTAGTTTACTTAATTCAAGAATTAAATCTAGAATGTTACACATAACATATCAATGTTTATTGACACATGCTTGAGAGTCAAGATCAATATTTAATAACAACTTGGTAATATCATGTAGCATTCTCAAACTCACTTTACATTATTTTCTAAATCACAGGATATTATTTTGGGTAGGGGGTACTGTACTATTACTTTATCTATCTCTCTATAATTTCTTCTTTGTTGGGAGATCTAGATGGTTGACTTTATTGAATTCTTCTCCTTTACTGACTCCTTTCACTACTACTAGCTCATTGTTAGGCATTTCTTCTAAAATAGATTCAAATGAAATTGCATTTGATATGTCATTCATTTCATCTCATAGACCCTAGAGGGTGTAGTTATACTTGTTCTCCCATAACTAGTCTCCCTCCCTATGGTTTTAAATAAGGTTCCTCTTCAACAATCAACATTGTTATTTACTGCTGGCACCTTTTGCTCTTCTAGCATTAAGAGCAACCAGGTGACAAGCGTTCTAATAATTAGAGATAGACAGGGAGCTTACTTTTTCATCATACAACATTTTTCCTGATCTAAAATCAACTCAAAGTCCAACACTAGATATCCCGAGGGAGACATTTAACAATTTACTTCTATTCTTTGTCTTAATTTCCTCATCTCTTCTTCTTTATAAGATCTTCACTTTAGGAAGTGGGATAGAGCTAATGGCTAATGTTTTGAATGTTGCCTCTATACATTCCTCATATCCACATTTCATCATCTTATCTCATGTAGTCCATACCATACCTTTGGCAAAATCCCAATCTGTTGTCTCTAAACCTATATACTAATGGGGATTTCCTTAATGTATTCTGTTAGGTTGAAGTCACAATTTTGATCGAGGATATAGTACCAAGAGGCATCATAAGTTCATAACAAGAGGATATAGTCCTTGTCCAATGCCATAGCTCAATCCTCATGTCTAAGCTGAATTTTTTAGAGCATGTCAAAGGCTCAAGATAGCTTTACTCAAAAACCAATTCATATATGCAAGCTTCATAAAGTTTAATTATGTACTAAGAACCTCTTTTCTTGCCAAACCAATTTACTGCTCAATTAGTTCAATTATCTTAATTTATTTATGATTAAGTTACTATATTAAATTAAATTAAGGTAGGTATAAAAAGAGTAGATAATTTTAATAATTAAATTAAATATTTTCTAAAATAAGAATTAGTTAAAAATACTATATTTATAATAATTTTTTAAAGGTTGAAGTCATAGTTATTTAATTTAGGGCCAGTTTGTTTTAGCTTATTTTATGAAAAATAACTTATTTTTGAAAAAAAATTTATTTTGTGAATTTTTATTATATTTGTTTAAACTTTTGAAAAAAATCAAAATATGAAAAACATATCTCTGATTATTTTAAGAAGCTATTTTAAGTAATTTTAAAAATAATTTAATGTAGTAGATGAAAAAGAATGTGTTAAAGAAGCAGGATATATGAAGATATCACAAAATTTTAAAATAACATAATAATAAATCATTTATATAATAATATAATATAATATTTTAAAATAATATAATAATAAATCATTTAAGATATTATAAAATTTAAAAATAACTAATTAATAATCACTTTTTTATCATTTTAATTAAATATAAAATAATGTCTGCTTATTATAAAATTTTTACAAATAATTTTTTTTATAAAATATCTAAACTATTTAACTTTTTTTAATTTTAAATAAATGCGCCGTTAATTTAATTGATTAAATCCATTCACGATAGAAATGGCGGGGAGTGCAAAAGGACCAAAGTGGAATTTAAAAAGCCTTAGGAAGACAAAACCCCTTCGAACCCCCAAAATTAGTGCGCCTGGTCCAGTTTTCAGAGTGAACCCAAAAGAAAATGGCGTTTTCTTCTCTCAGATTGAAATCTCTTGCTCGAGCGCTCTCATCATCAACGTCTGCTTCTTCTGTTTCGTCTTCCAAGTCGAAACCGGTCCTTCCTCTAAGCTATTGGCGCTTTTATCCCAAATCATCTTCTTTTACTTCTGCTTCTGCAACAGAGAGTGAAAGACTCCGCGACGATAACGGTGACGTCGTTCCTACCTCTGGAATCAGCAGGCCCCTCTCTGAAATACTTAAGGAGCTGAACAAGAAAGTCCCTGATTCATTAATCAAAACTCGCGTTGAGAAAGATGGGTTCCCTATTAAATACATTCCCTGGTATTCCCATTTTTTTGTTTTTAAACTTCCAGTATTCTCCTTGTCTAGATCCCAGGAAAAATGAAAATAATATAAAAGTATATTCATTCAAATTTTGGTATCCTGTGTCTTGGTATGTGGGTATCGTTGTTTATCATCTTTTATTTTCTGTTCTAATAATAGTGTGAAGTAGTCATCTGCTATCGTCCTGTTGGGTCTTGTTAATGTAGTAGATTAAACCCCGCCCTCGTTAGTTTACCTTATTTTCCTATTGCTGTGTTATTTCTTGTACAGGCATGTCGTCAACCGTATTATGAACTTACATGCTGCTGGTAAGCAGATAGTCTTATCGTACTTTAAATGATGATTTTATTTTTGGATATCTGATTTGTTGAAATGTCTATCACAATGAAATCTATAATATTATAATTTCTCATAGAGTGGTCTGGTGAAGTTCGAAATATCAGCTACGGTGCTGATGGCAAGACTGTCTCGGTAGTTTATCGCGTGACCCTTTATGGCACTGATGCAGAGGTATCAATTCTTTTGCCTTCAAGTTACGTAACTCAATTTTCTGTTTCACTTTTGATACTGGCATCATACTTTTTTTTTTTTTTTTAATTTGTTCCCCAACATGTATTTTCAAATTTTTGTTTGATTTCATGCTGTGAATTGCTATTATTTTTTTATTATACGTGATATTTCTGTCTTTAAAAAATAATTTCATCACTAGCCACTTGAGCTTGAGGCTAGCTCCAGTGGTATGGGTTCGGTAGGGTTAGTGTAGTGGTCGAAAACTCAAATTCTCCTTTTGTAACTGAAAGAAAAATTTGATCATCAAAATTCGTGTTTTGCATGCTAATTGTTCTACAAATAAAATATTAAAAGAAGCAAAACTTTCTTGATTGGTAGGAAAACATTTACTATATCTTCTCAAATTTTTTCTTTTTAATGCTTAATTATAAATTGAAGAGTTTCTTCCTCGTATATAAAGTAGAAACATGAATTTCCACACATATAGAAAGTGTCTTGGACTTAGAAGTTGGGTCTATAGCATATGGGCAAACAATAAATCCTTCGTGACGTGTATCTCATTGTTTGAATGGCTCTTCTTTGAACACATGCACACAAGCTAACATATAACTGAAGGCTGTCCTTCCTTAAAACTTGCTACATTAGTCAGCTTGATTAACTATTTTCTACTATTTGTGTTCTTCTTGTACCATATAAGTTATCACATTGCACTTTTACTCCTTGGTTTAACCCTTAAAACCTAGATGTACGATGGTTTTAGTAACAAAATGTGTATATCTTTCAAATCAAATGCATATGGGAATGCCTTCTTCATGCGTCATTCTTTTAAAATACTCAGGATTGCAATTGAAAGTAGAAACATGAAGCAGGTTTCCTATTTTAGATGACTATTCAAGTCGAGCCCAGTTTCTCTATTATCTATAGGTGGTATAAATAACGTGCGTACAGCTAAAGAGTCAATGGAGATTGGAAAGAGCATTTCACAATGGCAAGAATGTAGATGGCCATGACAATTTAGCTGTTAAAGGAATAACTTAAGATAGTGGAGCCATTAAATAGTTACATCAATTCTCTTATACATCGAGCGTATTCATTGATGGGAGTCTACTGAACCTGTACATGAAGTACTCTGTTATTGGATATTGATAATTTTTTTCCCTCATCTTTTTATATCTTGACTATTGGGTTTGATTTGAGCAGTTTTTTTGGTGACAAGATTTGAGCATTTTAATCAATATACAAAAACAAGATGTCTAATATTGATAATTTCTTATATTGAAAATGTTAATCAAAAGTAGTAGGTGAGGTCATATGCCTGCAACATTGGCTAAACATGAGTGCTATGCAAGTATGCATATACCGAGCTTCACAGGGCTGGGTATTTATAAAAATAATGATTTAGTCGTCCTACTTAAACACTTAGACAATGTCACGCAAGGACAGCATGGTTCGTTCTTTATACTTTCTACTTGTAAACATCAAACCTGTTTAAGTTGAGTGTGCATTATTTTTTGCATCTTTGCTTTTGAAATTCATGTATTTACACATCCATGTTTGAAACTCATTCTTATTTAATCTTTCTGTGTAGTCACTGAAGGAAAAATATGCTCCAGTTATTGAGGCACTAGGCATTATGCTGCTATAATTTATGTTGAACTTTTCTTCTTCACATTATTGTTTTTTCATCCGTAATGCCCCCTTGTTCTGTAGATTTATAGAGAGTCAACTGGTACTGCTGAATTGGATGACACAAGTTATGGAGATCCTTTACAGAAAGCAGAAGCTATGGCTTTTCGTCGAGCTTGTGCACGCTTTGGGCTAGGGCTTTACCTTTATCATGAAGATGCATCATAATCAGTTGGTTCTGCCATGTAAGTTCCAATGGTTTGTGACTGCCATTTATATCTTCTTTTGTATGCAGTCTTCGTCTATTAATTGGAAGGGGATCATATATATTGGGATGGTAGTAATAGGAAGCCGTTTTGTTTATGGTCATTTGAAAGTGGCCTCCACAAGCTTCCGTAGTAGCAAGCGGAATTTTCCAGGTCATCTATCTTTTGGATTCTTTGCAATCAATCTTTAGCATTTGATACTCGACGTGTTTGGGTAATGTGATATATTAATATATACAAGTATGAATGAAGTCGCATTATTCATAATCATAAATAATCTAGTTCACATCAAATTTCATATAAAACATGGCGCTCATAGTCTAGTTAATTTTGATACAAGTCTGATGGGTCCAATATTATCTTGTGTGAAGCACATCAGACCCTAACTAATTTATCAATATTTTATGATTGTGAAAATCAAGATGCTAGTGATTATTTGGTGAAATGATTGTAGACTCTTGTATTTTGCCCGGTGCACATATAACGTGCAGGTTCTAAAATTCTAACTTTATTATTTAGATGCTTATATGTGTGTGTATATATATATATATAGAAACTGAAATGAGTGATAGAGAAATACGATCTATATTATTACTTTATTCTGCCAGGGAAATAGAGCTTGCTAGTACAGATAGTTTTGGTACATTTTGGCCAGAGTGTGCAGATAGCTAAAGAAGAGCCATCTGCTGAATATTAATGGGATAAGAATCAGAAGGTGGGCCATTAACAGCTCTCCAAGAGAAGACATATGCTGCAGATTGTGTTGGATGGAAGGCATCCCAAAACACATATTGGCTTCTGTTTGGACATGGAACTTGAAATGGAAGACATGTTATTTGCCCTTGGTTCCTTCCCATTCCACAGCAGCCTCTATCAATCACACTGAATGCTGCACAACATCGCCATAGTACCATTGTGGTCAAATTAATTTATCATATCCTTTTATGTGAGAAGAGGACACACACCCCCACAATCTCAAAAATTTAGATCCTAATGCTTGAAGTTTGCGGAGTGTCTCTCAAGAGTGAGTGAGAGGGAGGGAGAGAGAAGGGGTAAAATTTTAAGTGAGTCTAATATTCCTACATATTTTGTCACTCTGCTCGAGAGATGAGGGATTTCACACTTAGAATTTAAATTAACAAGATGTTTAAAGGACTCGGCTTCTCTCCTTTAAGAGAAGCCTTTGAGGCAGAGGGAAATTTGGACTTTTAGATAGATTTAATTTTTTAATTTTTATTTATATTTTTAAAATAAAAAATATATAAAAATTGTAAAAAAAAATTTAATAAACATATGACAGTTCAGATTTAATATAGATGATTCAAATTTAATATAAAAAATTTAAATTGACTTTTTTAGATATATTTTGAACAGTGTAAATATATTCTGAATAGAGCAGTAAATTTATTAAAAAATTAATATTAAATTTGGACCATCTATATTAAATCTGGACTGTCAGATTGATAAATATATTTATTAATTTTTTTACAATTTTCATATATTTTTATTTTAAAAATATAAATAAAAAATAAAAAATAGAATATATTAAATCTAGACTGTCTAGATTGATAAATATATTATTAATTTTTTTTACAATTTTCATATATTTTTTATTTTAAAAATATAAATAAAAAATAAAAAATAGAAATATTAAATCTGGACTGTTCAGATTAAATCTTGACAGTTTAGATTAAGCCTCTGCCTCAAAGGAGAGGCAGAGGAGGCTTCTCTCTAATGCATTGAGAGAAGCCGGGTCCATGTTTAAAATGGGATTATATATACACTTTGGATGTGACATACGAAATGGAGCATGTGAAGTACATCTAAAATAAAGAGACAAAAAAGAGGGAGTTTTAAATTTTACTTACCGCAGTCTCTATTTGATTGGCCCTTCACAGATTTCATACCTTAGAAAATCAAAATCAATATGCAGGCAGGTTGTTTAAGGATCATATGCGCACTTTAGACTGCATAAACAGAAGTCTTTGAAGCACTTTTAAAATGTGCGTGGGAGAGACAGTAGAAAGGAAACCTTATAAACTAGGGTCAAAGTGCAAAAATACTCATAAATTTTTTCTCCAAAAGCTTTGATATCCTTAAGACAACAATGGTGTATGGGTAACCATTAATTTTATAAAATACCCAACATTTTCCGATCCTTAAAGTTTTTAGTTATTTTTGCACCATAATCCTATAAGTTATTATGGTCTCTTTCTGTTTCATAGGTATGCATGTGTTTCTTGTGCCAGTAAGATCAAAATCATTTACAAACTTCAAAGGATACACACAAACAAAAGTCGTAACTTTTAAATTTGAAAGAAAAATCTGTTGATTGTCTCTGAATCTGAAGTGAGAATAAGAAAGAAAATGAGGCAGTGAGTCTTGTACATACTCTCTATCTCTGACAGATTATAGAGACACTTCACATGTGTAAGATTCAAGAGGATCTAAATTAATATAGACACAAGTTGTTTAAGATGAGATTAGAAATCTTACAGTAGGCGGCAGGGTTATTGAGGATATCACCAAAAACAGCATAAGTATTGCCATAGACAAACATGGCATCAGGATGGTTCTTGTTGAGCTGGTCAACCATTGCTCTCAGGCCTTCATTGAAGGTCCCAAGCATCTGGTTCACGCCATCTGCACACCTTCCTGGTGGGGCACTTGCTCGTTGGTTTGGAATGCATCCCAGTGGTCCTACTCCTGCTAGGAAGAACTTCCTTAGCCCTAAACTGTATAGTGCCTGCAAATCCCAACACTTCCATATTCAATAATGCAGCTCCTAATAAATCCTTAATGTCTAGGTATATTGCCAAATGTATTTGATATCTACATCACTGCACAAAATCAATTGTTGATATATATATATATATATATATATTGGTTTTCTGACTAAACCAACTATAAAAATTACCTAACAAAAGTAGTACCTAAATGGTGAAGCTACCTGTCTGCACTCATACACGTACTTCACTACTTCTAACTGATATGGGGGTCGAACTTCATTATCGATAAGGACAACTGATAATCTAGACGGAACAGATCATGGGTTTTAATGCCAAATCCTATGGATCCAGTGGCATAAAATCCTCCCTCTTTGTGAGGGAGGTTATAGGTTCAAACCTATACTTGTGTGTGTGTGGCTGTGTTTCAATATAGGTACGTCTGTCTAGATTGACTGATGTTTTTTTAATACTTGGGTGTTTTTTCAAGCGTATTTGATATCAAGCTCTTCAACTAAAACATGATAAAATCACGCTGAAGGGGCTATTTTTTATTTGGGGTTTGATAATATTTGAATCTGAATTAGCACCAAATACCAAAATATTGGCTTGAAAGATATTTTGAAATGGAAAATGTGACTAGAATATGAATGCAAAAACAGCTACTGAGAAAAAAAGAAGGGAGAATATCAATGAAGGGTTTGGACAAATTGGATACTTGTGAAAACAATTTCACTTGTTAATTGTTGATGTTTACTTAAAAGTTTTTGTTAGATATTAAATTTTTTCAGCGGTTCTTTAATGATATTCTTCCAAAAAAAAAAAAAAAGATATATATTACCTGGATTTGACGAGCATAGCTATTGAGGAGAAGATTGCCAAACTGTTGGGGATTGTAAAGGTAACTGGAATTGTATAGTGTGGGCAAGAGATAGTTGTTGATGTAATCATTGCTTCCAAACACCAAAATTGCTATTGATTTGGCCAAGTATTGGCTCAATGCTGTTCCATTCATCATTGTTCTCAATTGATTCAATGTGTTCTCAAAGTTCAACACTTGCTGGTTCAAGCTAAACCTGTCGCCCTGTTCAAAATATTATACAACTAATTAATGTTCCTTGGAATTTCGATTCCATTAACATGCAAAATAGAGTTTAAATGGATCAATGAATTTTTAAATATAAAAAAAAACCTAAATTTAGAGTTTTAATTTTATTTTAAAATTTTAAGCAAATATCAAGTATTTTGTAGGTGGAACTTATAAAGAGGAACGATATTTTTTATATTTTTGGGCAAGATAAAATATTTTTAATATTTTACTATAATGGCATTTTAGTCAAATTTTATTGTAATTGTAAATATCTATAATTTCGCTTATTTAATGGATTTTTTAACATGCATCTTGCATACATAACCTTAAATAACAAAACAACTATTTTGAAACAAAGGAAGTACAAGTTTTGAATTGTATGGCTTTTATCATGCAATGCATGTGATCTACCTTTTTATCTTTAAGATAGTAAGAAATCAGATGATTGTATAAAAAATGTACAAATTTAATTAAGTGTTGTACAAAGTAAAATATAACATTTTGGGCTAAAATATGGTGATTACTTAAATTAAATTTTCCTGAATAATAAAAGTATAGGATAATGAAACTTTTAATCTTTTAAATTTGTCTCAAATATTGATTTGGTTTTTATATTTTTTAAAATTATCATGTTAATTCTTTAAATTTTCAAACATAAATGGACTTTTAAATAAATTTAATGTGTAAAATATGTTAATGACTTGATATGTATATATATAGTTATGTGAGAACAAATTAGCTTTTAAGTCAATTTAATTTTTATTAAGGTAATCCATTATGTTGTATTTTGTTCTTTTATTTTTTTTTTAAATTCACGGGTCTGTTTTTTCTAATTTAAATAATTACATTTTGTTATTAATTTACGTGTTTACTATCATCATTATTTTATTATTCATATCAATAAATTTTGATAGTATTATATTTTTTAAATAATAAAAATTAAATTGATAATTGAGACAAATATAAATAATGAATTTAATAAAAGTTAATTTTAAAAAATTAAATTAATAATTAAAATAATTTGAAGGATTAAAAATTTTATTATTCATAAAAGTATTAATGAAAAGTTCAAAGCGTATACTGAAGAGAGTGGAGTGTACAGTACATAGTGACGGCCAGTTTCTTGAAGAATGCCAGCAGCCCCAGAAGCAAAATTGACTCCATTAAGTATTGTGGGTCCCCTTGTTGTGGGGTTTGCGAATGCTGCTGCTTGAGGGACACCTAACAGGTTTCCTGCGAACATATTCCCACTTTTTTTTTATTTAAAATATTTTTAAGTGTTGTATTTATTTTTCTAACATCTACTCTCTTGAAATGTATCAGAGTAAAAAAAAAAAAAAAACTTAAAACGTGTAAGATTTTTTTTTTAAATATACATAGGCCTACGGGAGATATACATATCTTGGAAGATATTGATAATTTTTTTAAAATAGAAGATTGGTTAGAGTTGTAATTTTATTTTAAATCTGGTAATAACTTTCTTAAGAACTGATAACAAAGCATGCAATAACAATAATTTTATTCTAAGAAAAAATTGAATAACTTTAAAGATTCTTAATCTTAATCATTTTTTTATTTCAAATGCATCAAAAATATATTTTCTCAAATTAATGATCTAATTAATGATAGATTTCAGAAAAAGTAGAACTCAGTAAGGGAGGAAAAAACAAAAGAAAGAAAGCAAATAGTAATATGACTTTTTAATTAACTTGACTTAATAATATGTATCACCAAATGGATTAACAATAAAAATCATCAAGAAAAACTTCGTTTTCCAAAAAGAAAAATAATAATCAATGCATACAATAAGACACACATATTTTTTGTTAGAAAGTGTAAAAATGATAAGCAAAATAAAAAAGGATAAAATAATTGGAATTTATAGAAAAATTAAAGAAAATAATAAGAGACAATACAAAAAATTTAACATGGGAAATATTTTAATGTAAGGGACAAAAATTCCAAGAGTAATGGCGAGAAATTTTATTATAGAAAATTAAAATTACTATAATTTTCTCTTTTTGGATGGAGAGACTAGATATATATAAAGCTTTTTATAAATTAAAAATATTAATTTAACTGATAAATAATTTCTCCTAAAATCTCAATTATAAGTATAATAGAGATATGATAGACTTTAAACCAATATAATATATAAAAATAATCACAGAAAATTATAAGGATCTGACTCAACATATATGTATAAAATAATCGCAAAGTTTGATTAATAAAAATAATTACCAATGAAGTCAGCAATGTTGAAGCCATTGGAGAATCTACCAGTAGGACCACCTCTGAAATCAATTCCATAAGGAAAGTAATTAGACTTTGCCAAAGTGTTCAACAAGTTATTGTTTCCAACGTCCACCAATGAATCTCCAAACACAAACAAAGCAGGAACTCTCTGTGTCTGTGCCTTCACTTCCAAGCTCACCATCATCAGATTCACAACCACAACAACAATAATCATCAAACCACTCACAACTTCATTGTTATTCCACGTACCCATTTCTTATTTCTCTCTGTTGATTTTCAAAGAAACCAAACATGGTGTGTGTATATATATTGTGGTTTCTGAAACTGTTTTGAGTTGTTTGTTGCAGAAAATGATGAAACGAAGCCCATAGAACCAATGCGTTGTGTGTTCTTGTGTGTGGTTTTTCTCGTGTTTTTGGTTTTGCCTTTTCAACGTCTTTGTTATCTTTTCATTATTTTACTTGATGGAATCTTCAGTTTCGTAACCATTTCATCAAGTTCCATGCTTGTTTGTTATGAAACGATCGACAGTACGTGTAGTAACAAACTGGGTGACTTGTTGAGAATGATTGGTAAAATAAATTTAAAATAAGCAAAATACTGAAATCGGATTAGTCATTAAATTGATCAAGACACTGGTTTAAGGGTTAATCATCAAAGCTGTAATTGAATCGTATCAAAGGCGTAAAAAATTAATCATTTTATTAAATTGGTCAAAATATTAGTTTAACTGTTTAATGATTCAACGAATCGGATTTTCTTGCTGTGAAAATGAGTAACAAATTCTATCATGTCATGAATAACGTAGTTGCTTTCTGTAGTTTATTATATACAAGTCCCAACAGTGCTGTTTGTATTGGGCTTCAAGACTCTCTTTTATTCTATTATTATTTTTCATTTATTTCTATATTTCAATATTTTACTATTTGAATTTCAATTCTCAAATTTTTCCTTAAAATGTTTCTCATCAAATATATTATGAAGGAGTTATGTACAAGTCCTGAATAAGAAACTTAATTATAGCCAAGTCCCTCGAATTCGTAAACACATAAAGCCAAGTCTCTTGAAACTTGGCTATATATTTGATAGGGTTGTGAAAAGACTATATTGCCCCAATTTTATATACTTGGCATATTGAAAACTATATAATTTCAATTGTAAATGCAACTTTCTAATTATAAACTCGTGAGGATCGATTGTAAATATAGTCCATAAAAATATCATTCTCCTCTCATTATATATATGTATATATAGTTATAATTGGTTGTCATGAATTTACAACTAAAATATCATAATGCATATGTTGGCAGAAATGGCTCTTTGAAAAATAAAAGATGTAGAGATGAAGAAGAAAGCTATGCATGATATCTTCAAAGCGTGAGCACTACTTTCCTTTAGACTTAATTCACCCCCACTTATTTTAGTCTTTGGGTATGAGTTGGGTTGATGGTGAATTTCTTTCATGATACAATAAAGACCCTTGAGTATGGTTTGCACTACTAAGACTGAAGCCAAGACAAAAATGGTTTTTAACAATGTGATAATTTGACTTTATCTTTGGTTCACTTAATGACAAAGGCAATGAGTTTCCTAAAATGAGTGATAGTGAGAGGTATTTATAAATATGCAAGTGATTCCTCAAAGTAGTACCTTTAAGTAATAAAACTCTACTAAAAAGTCATAATCCATATTGGTTCATAATCCTTTGTTAACTCAATTTTATATGATCTTTCAATTCCCATGTTTCCATGATATCTTCTACTATGATTTTATGCATTTTCAAGGGTTGTTGTTTTGTAATCTATTTTCAAATAATTTTGGAATCCTAATCTCCTAAAATAGTTTTAAGGACTTTGATTTAATTAGTTTTAGCCATGGTTGATCCTTATTCTTAAGGGTTGGTTTTATTAATCAAGTTTAAGTGTGGTTAATGAGAGATGTCATTACACTTGACCCGTACCATCCTCCTAGGAAATTGGTGATCTTGAATGGCATGCTTACATACGCCATTCCCAAGGGATAATGGATATAAACACATTTTAATCAAATATGCCTACCACTGTGTCCAAATCTTGATAGAGGTTATACTTTTCTATATTGCCCTTACTTAATTGGGTTGATTTCCACCCATCTATGATCGTGCAATATGCTCATGTTATCCAATATCATGTCATAAATGCAAACTTGATTAACTTATCTCACAATCAAGTGTAACATTCAAAATTTTCTAATTTGAAACTTAATTACTAATTAAGCATAATTAGTAAATTAATTAAATTAATCATGTTGTTGGATTTTTAATTAATGTTTTGAACTATTGGACAGCTTTAAGGATGGACTAGGATTGGATGGCATGAGATAAGTGAGAATTTTCTCATTGTGTCATATGCAGTGGCATTTGCATTATATGCCACATTGCATGGCACTTAAATTAGGTTAATAAATCATGGTTCAAGCAAAAAAAATTAGAAGAAAATTTCAATTTTTGGAGGAGCATAAAGGAGAAGAGAAAGGGGTCTATTAGGGCAAGATTAGGCACAGCCTTGGAGATTGGTTTGGACTATCGAGCACTTTGGTAAGCCTCTTCCCTCTTCTTTCTATCTTGTCATCTTGATTTCACAAGAATTGAGAGTGAGATGTTTTGATATAAATTGAAAAAGCCAGAGATCCACACTTAAAGGCTTACATGTGATTCTAACAGCTTGATCTAGGTTCCTTGAGCTTAGGGCAAGTAGTTTTATGAGATGTGATTATAGGAGCTTGAGATTGGGTGAAGACCTAACCAAAATTTACAGTTTTAAGGTTGCAAGAGTTGATTTATGTTACAACTTCACCAAGTAGGGATTTAAGATAATGGTGTGAGTTGGTCGTAGCTTTTATTAGCTCAACTGTTAGGGTTATGGATTGTGAACAGTGAAATTGGGTTAAATTTAGCTAAAAGTACTTATGTTAAGTTGAGAAATTAACATATAGTGCTTTATAGATTGGGTAATTGGCAATACTTTTGAGGTTAAACAAGTGACTGTAACAAACACGTGTCACGAGTGACCCTTTTTGTGACAAAGAGGTTGAGATAACCAAATAATTTATATTATTTATTATCTTGTAAAGTTGTTTACAAGTCAGTAGCATTAGTACAAAGTAGATTATACTTAAATATGTATATGCTTTATAAAGTAGAATGCTTTTGAAAGGCATAAAGTCATGGCTTGCTAAATTGTAGTTTAAATTAAAGGTAAAAGTAGTAGTTATGTTTTAAAATGGATAGTAAAGCATGATTATTTGGCATGGTAATATGACAAATTGATAATAATTGTAGGAAATTGCATATGCATGACTTAGTGGTGATTTGTAGTATATATTTAGTAAGGGTGGGAACTCACCCAATTGGAGATAGTGGTGATTAAAATTCATATGGCACCATTAATATCTCGGGACACCATGTGTAGTGTATACTCTTCGTAATGCTCGAAAGAGTATGATATTAGAGAACTACACTACTTAACATTTGTAGGATGTAGTATTAGATTAACAACACCTTAATTACTTGCAATAGGGGAAGATTGTAGTTTGAAAGTGGATTATGAAGCTTTTGGCTAGGTAGTTCTACCATGAAAGGTAAGCTCTAACTAGATATATTGTTTTGTCTTGTGAGGTAGCTACAGGTTTAATCGGGAGTACTAGAGGTTTGAATAGATAGGATCAAGCATGATATTATGGCGATTTGTTATTTCCTTTACCAGTATCTTTTAAATATCTATTTATGTAACTTGTTTATAATTTTGCATGTTAATCGATAGTATAGATTATCCTGATTATTAATATGTTTATCTCACTTTATGATTTTTGTTTTATAGGTTTTGAGTTAGAAAGAGAAATAGGAAAAGAGTTAGGCAAGGAATAACTACTTAGCCAGAAATATACAGTGTAATGCTCAAGTTATATTTTAGGTTTGTATATATATTTGTAATTATAAAGTATTTTGAGTTGTCAATTAGGAATGCATAACATTTGTGAGATAGTGCACTTATATGAAATTATGTGTATGTTGTTTTTTAGGTTGGCTTTGTATGTGCTGATGAGACATGTGGTGAAAGCACTGTTGTAACATACTGATTTTTTTTAGATAAAAAAAATTGTTGTGAAATTTAAGTTTTATTTAAAAATAATAATAATAATAATAATAGAAATTTATATTATTTGAGGTTATTTGAAAATAATAATATGGTTAGAAATTTAATTATGAATTAAAAACTTAAGTTTAAAATTATATAAAAAATATTTTATTAAGATATAATTTTAAAATTTAAAATATATATATATATATATAAATTATGCGTGAATGTGGAAAAAAAAAGAATAAAAAAAGAAAAGAGTTTAGTCCCACATCGGTTAGATGTGGGATGAGGAAATGATTCCTCACATATAAAAGAAAGTGAGAGCGTGCAAAGGAAAGCAAAAAGAAAGTTTATATAATTTGTAAAAATTACAACTAATGGCCCAAGATGCAATTTGTGAAAATTATAAGTAATGGCCCAAAGGTTTGAATAATTAAATTCATATCTATATTTTTTTTAATATAATTTGGGACACATAATCCCATTTTTATATTATTTTTCTCTCTTCCTCTCACGTTGCTCGGCGTTTTCTCGCAAGGGGGGATTATTTTCTTTTTCTTCAGGTATGTTCCAACTTTCCTGTTTAAATTAACATTTAAAAATTTATTTAATTACAAAATTAATTTTATAGTTATTTTCTAAATAATATTAGCTTTCTAGTGATATGATTATATTGTAAGATAGAGTAAATATTCTGATTAGAATTTTTCTATAGGATAGTTAATCTGATGATATGATGGATTAAAAATATATGTTAAAACTCTTAGGGATATAATAAATATTATAGAATATTTTTTTGAGGTTGAAACTCATGTTTAAGGATTTTTGAATTAAACTCTAGATCTATATGGTTGAATTTATGTTGAATCTGAGATGTAGGGATGAACCTCTAATTATTAAATATTTATTTAAGTAAGAATAGGTATTTTTGAGGTTATAGAAAGGTGATTTGAGGTTTCAAGATAATTCTAAAATTTTTAATTTATTTTTGGACGAATTTTTAGAATATAGAAGGATGAAATTGTGATACTAGAAGTGATTTGAGGCTTAAAAATAGTTTATTAGGGTACGAGAATTTTAGAAAAGAATTTGAGAA